AAAACAGGAAGTGTATGGAGGCTGAAGTATCAGGAGCGTGTCCCTGCGGCTTTGGCCTGGCTCTGGGCATGGGGATGATGAGGTTCTAGTTTTTGTCTGCTCTTTCTCTCCATGGTTTCTTCATAGCCTATCCTGTGAAGCACCAGAGTGAGAGAGAATTCACTGTCTGTGTCAGGAAAGGCCTATTTGTCGTGACAAACTGACCAACCTCCAGGGTGCTCCTCCACCATGAAACTGATTTTCTATCTCATCCACCAGGTAATAGGCTGTGAAGAGAGTCTGGTTGCAGGGGACAGCTGCCTGGCCCCCAGGATGCAGTGGGAGGAAGTCCCACATGGAGTTCTCAAAGCCTGAACCCCACAGGCCACGTGTGTTGAACGCGGGCCAGCAAGAGCCGCGTGATGGGGGTGCACAAAGCCTGAGATCCGCAGACCCGTGAAAAAACTAAAACAGAAAAATTAAAAACTCGGGAGGAAGCCCTAGGACCTGACGGACTCACTCTTCCTCAGATGGGCTTCCGCTGAGAGAAAATGAATCTGGCAGTGACTCTGTGGGAAGGCTTTATGACACACTCGTTACCTACCTGAACTTTTTTTTCACTTTATTTTGGAGACAATGATGTTTAGTGTAAATTAAAATTAAAAAAAAAAAATGAGAAAAAACACCTCACTGCCATTGAATCCATTCCACTCATAGCAACCCCTTCTTGGATTTCCTAGGCGGTGTCTCTATGAAAGTAGATTGCCCAGTCTTCCTTCCATGGAGTAGTTGGTGGGTTTGAACCGCCAGCCTTCTGGTTAGCAGTCAAGTGCTTTAAGGCACTACGCTACCAGAGCTCTGGGAATGTTCTGTAGAAGCAGAGGGTGATGCAGAACCGGGTGGGAAGCAGAGGGGACAAGCGTCACAGCACTGAGCTGAGTGAGCTAACATATGCACCAGGCAGGGCACAGGAAAACAAAAGCCCGTTCCCACCGAGTCGATTCCGATGCGTGGGGACCCCCCCCCCCCGTGTCGGGACAGAGCTGCACCCCATCGCGTTTCCAGTGGCTGGATTCTCGGGAGCAGATTGCCAGGCCTTTCCTCCAAGGCTCCTCTGGGCAGCCTCGAGCCTCCAACCTGCGCATAGCAGCTGAGCACGAGTGTTGTTTGCACCACCAGGGGCTCCACGTCTCTGTGGACAAGGTCCTTTCCCTACAGAATCCTTTCCTTTTCATGTCCTGAGATGAAAACAATCTTCAATCTTCAAATGAGTCTTAAAGCAAGAAATTGGACGTGGAGAAGGTGAGATCTGTTCATGTGGGGAAGGGAAGGGGAAGGGAGGGGGAGGGAAGGTTAGGTTGTACAGGCTGCTCCTTCTGAGGAAAAGAGAAATCAAAATGGAAAAGAAGTCAGTGTTTGGGGATAAAGCTGGTTTTATCCCTGTCTTGTTTGGTTTGGGTTTTGGTTTTTCAGTTCAAAGCTGTCTGAAGCAAAACTCATCTAAATTCCTAGCCTTATGCTCTGGAATACTAACCTAGAAGTTTCCAGACTCGGAAAACCTCAGGAGTCTTCCAGACACTCAGTGCCATAACTATATCAGTGACCTATTGCTGTGAAAGAAACCCAGACGAAGGGACAACAGACATCTTGTTTCTGGCTGGTTTTTGTTGTTGTTGTTTCATTTCATTTTTTTCCTGGCTTTGTTTTGTTTTTGCCCAGAAGCCTGCAGTTTGGTGACGGGTATGAGGATAGTTTGTCTCTGGACTAGGTGAGGTTAGCAGGAACTGCTCATATGGGGGCTGAAAGGTCCACTTTCAGTCAATAACTTATTCACATACTAGCAAGCTCATGCCGCGGTCCGCTGACTGCTCAGCCAGGGCCATAGACCAAGGCCTCAGTTTCTCCTCACAGATACATGTGTGGACCTCTTCCTGGGCTGGCGGGCTTCCTCATCACATGGTGGCTGGGCTTGAAGAGCTTGCTTCTCAAGAGACAGGAAATGGAAGCTGCCAGTTTCTTAAGGTCTGGGCCTAGGAAGTGTCCCTCCACCTCTTCCACTATATTCTACTGGATGAACAGTCATGGCATCCAGATTTAGAGGAAGGGACATAGATCCCACCCCTCAGTGGGACCACTATGAAATAATTTGGAGCCTGTATTCTAAAACCACCACCATCACCCACACACCATGCTTATGAACTTGCTCCCGCCTTTTCCAGGACATCTTCTCTGAACACAGTTTCTGCTGTGAGAGAAGTTGCCCCGACTAGTTAATGAAATGTGTGTGGAAGGGACTGGCTTTCTGGTAAAGAAGGTCCTTCTTTGGCCCTGAAACAGGGAAACAGTCGGGGGCAGGCATCTCCTCAGGAGCTCTGGAGGTTCAGTGGTTAAGGCATTTGACTGCTAACCAAGAGGTCAGTGATTTGAACCTACCAGACACCCCATGGAGGAAGATGAGGCAATCTGCTCCCATAAAGATTACAGCCTTGGAAACCCTCTATCCTATAGGGTCTCTGTGGTTCTGAATCAACTCGATGGCAGTGGGTGTTTTGTTTTTGTGTGGCATCTCCTCAAGCTGCAGAGCACATTGTGCAGCTGGCACAGTCCTAGCCACTCAGCACGTCCTATCCCACCATATGCTCACATGGCCACATGAGGTGGTCATCATTTTTATTCCAGCTTTTCAGAGGAGGAAATTGAGGCACAGAAACCAACTTGCAGTCCCCAGCATCTAATTGTTGGCCACTATCACAGTCTCCCGGAGCTCTGGTAGCGTAGTGCCTAAGGCACTTGACTGCTAACCAGAGGGCTGGTGGTTCAAACCCACCAGCCACTCCTTGGAAGGAAGATGGGGCAATCTACTTCCATAGTGATATCGCCTTGGAAACCCAAGGAGGGGTCACTATGAGTCAGGTCCAACTCAACGGTACATAACAACAGCAACATTGCAGCCTCCAGATTGTGGTTGGTGACAATGAAAATAGGAAGTACTTTCTGGAGGGCCAATAGTCCCAAACACCTCACTAGGACAGACAGATCTTGACCAAGCTTGGCTGGCATTCACTTTTTCAGCCTCCTCCTTGTAAGATGAAAGTGGAGGGCATTTGTCACCCAGGTGAGAAGACTCCATGTAAGCCCCTCTCTTCTCTCCATGATAGGCTTCAATAAGGAAATAAGGCCATTAACCTAGACCTTCAAATACCTTATGTATGTAAATACGGAGCTCTGGTAGCACAGTGGTTAAGACATTTAGCTGCTAACCAAAAAGTCTTCAGTTTGAACCCACCCACCTCTCTGCAGCAGAAAGATAAGGCAGGCAGCTTCTGTAAAGATTTATGGAAATCTTTGGCAAGTCCATGGAGCAGTTCTACTCCACTTTAGGGCCACCATAAGTTAGAATGACTCCACGGCAGTGGGTTTGGTCACGTATGTTAATAAGCGTCAGATGTGAAATTCTTAAATGACACTGCAGTCCTCATATTCTAACCAATAACACTTCCCTGCAGGCACTTATGCACACAACCGTCTCTTCCACTAGACTGGAAACATCTTGAGGAAAGATCACATGATCTATGCATCTTTGTGGCCCTGCTACCTTGCACAGAGCTTGAAACATTCTCTAATCCGCAGTGAACAGTCCATCAAAATATCATTCTATTTCTCTTTGCAAAAAGGAAGTGGGCATCACACAAGTCAGAGGAGTGAATTATGTAATGAGTGTAGAAAACGAAAAAAGAAGAAAAACATGTTATGGTCAAAAGTAACCAGTAAAACCAGTTGCCGTAGAGTTGACGCCAACTCATGGTGCCCCATGTGTGTGAGAACCCCACAGGGTTTTCAATGGCACGTCTTTCAAAAGAAGATCACTGGAAAATAACAAATGCTGGCGAGGTTGTAGAGAGATTGGGACTCTCATACACTGCTGGTGGGACTGTAAAATGGTACAACCATTGTGGAAAGCAGTATGGCGATTCCTTCAAAACTTGGAAATACAAATACCATTTGACCCAGCCATCCCATTACTAGGTATATACCCTCAAGAAGTGAGAGCCATAACAAGAACAGATATATGCACGCCGATGTTCATCGCAGCACTATTTACAATAGCCAAAACTTGGAAACAACCTAGATGTCCAACAACTGAGGAATGGATAACCAAACTTTGGTACATTCACACAATGGAATACTATGCAACGCTAAAGAATAATGTAGAATCTGCAAAACACCGCATAACGTGGATGAACTTGGAGGACATTATGCTGAGCGAAATAAGTCAGTCACAAAAGGACAAATATTGTATTAGTCCGTTATTGTGAAAGTTAAGGAAAGGTTTATATATTGGAGGACATTTTCTTTGTTGGTTACCAGGGGTGGGAGGGAAGGGGAGGGAATGCTGTTAGATAGATAGAGATAAATATTGATTTGGGTGAAGAGAAGGGCAATGTACCAAATGTGAGTGACCAATATGGCAGCATTGAGGATGAGAAAGACATAGAGAGTTACATGGGCAGTACAAACAACAAATATGAACCCCTTTGCAAATACAATACTGAGTTGTCAATGAAAGCAAACATGGGTATAGGGACGGATAGATGGGTGAACAAGCTAAACAATTATGTATGTCTAAATGGAGAGTGTATCCAAGATCATATACAGGGTTGGCAGACAATGGGCCTCTCAGGGTGCAGAAGAGTATGAAGGGATGGACACTGGGAGGAGGTAACTATGGGGAGGAAGTGGGAGGGGAGCTGCTGCATTGTAAATTTTGGTCAATGACATGAGACAAAGTATATGTGAACTGCTGTATGAAAAGTGAATTTACTCTGTAAATCTTCACCCAAATCCTAATAAAAAAAAAAAAAAAAAAAAAAAAAAAAAAAAAGAAGATCACTGGGCTTGCTTCCCAAGCTCCTCTAGGAGGACTCAAACTTGCAGCCTTCGGTGAGCAGTTGAGTGTTGGCACCGCCCAGGGACTCCTGCAACCGGTAGCTCCTCCCTAACACACGTGTCTTCTTTTGCAGCTTGTCTTTTGCCGGGACTGTAAGGAGGCCTACCACGAAGGTGATTGCAGTTCAGTGCTTGAAGCCTCAGGAACAATTGCTCAGGTACGGAGCGCCCTACTCAGTCCTCAAAGCAGAGCTCAGGGCACAGGTGAGGGAGCAGAGTTGCATCCTGGAGGTCATCAAGAGGAAACCCACACTACACTGGTATCCTAAGGACAGTGACGGGGACTCTGGTTTCTCCACTCTCCCAACCCTTCGCCAGAACCATCCCCACCTCAGGCTGAGCCTGGCACTGCAGCCTTCCCAGCGGCTGTTTGGTTGCTGTTGGTCCCTCCTTGATCGAGTTTTCCTGGGGGGTTTGTGCAGTAGGGATGTGAACATTACCATGTAGAGAAGAGTCTTTGGAGGGGACATAAAACAATTCAACAATCTCTACATCAGAGAAGTCAACTCACTCCACTTTGGGTTGTTCTGTTTAATTTTTAAAGTGCTTTTCTTTAGAATCTTTAGGGAAGAATGATCTCCATGAATGACATGCACTGAAGTCGTGTCTGATGCAAAGATACCACTATCTTTTAGCAACACCATTTAGAACTCTGCTAAATTGCCTTTCAGGCTCAATTAGGACCTTCCTCTGATGTGCTCTGTAAGGCTTACCAAACCAAACCAAACTCACTGCCAGAGTCGGATCCGACTCATAGCGACCCCTCCTTGGGTTTCCGAGGTGGTATCACTACAGAAGTAGATTGCCCAACCTTCCTTCCCAGGAGTGGCTGGTGGGTTTGAACTGCCAGCCTTCTGGTTAGCAGTCTAATGCCTTAGGCACTATGTTTAGGGAACTGCCAACACATTTCTTTCCTTTCTTAATTATGATAAGCCAAGCCTTAGAGGAAAGGAGTAAACACTTCAGCCCAGTTGATGAATGTGCTCATTATTTTTCTACTGATAGAGATGTTAGCCAGGGTTTAAATATCAAATGTACCCAGATAAATCCTTTAGTCGTTGGATTGAGAGGAAGCTTATAGCCAAACAGAGAAGTTGCAGGACATCTGAGTTTCACAGTGGAGAATTTCAAAGATCTCAAACCAGAACAGATCAGAACACAGTGTGTCTCTAGAAGACATCCTACAGAGGTGTTTACCCTATATTAGCATAGCTACATAAACATAACTAGTGGATTCAGGTCTTCTCATCAGCTTTTACAAGGTTGGCCAGAAGTACTTCGGGAGATTGAAGACTGAATTGTTACTTCCACAACAGCAAAAGAAAATGCCCTTTGTGTTGACTTTATTTGCACTCAGGGGTATTGATAGGAAAGCTCATGGGTTCCAGAGAGCCCTGCCTTGGAGTCACTGTGGCCCTAGAAGAGCCAGAGATTCTTCCAGCAATTTCCACCCACATGCACTTACAATTATTTGCAAATCCCAAACATGGACAAAGGCTTCCAAGAAGTCATACTGTAGCATGCATTTATTTGAAAGCAGTAAGCAGGAAGGTGAGGAAGACTATCACTTAACATAAAAGTATGAGATGCTGACTATCTCAGTAATCCCATTTATGCTGCTATTAAGGACCTCTGGGGGTGTAATGCCTAAGCTGTTTGATTGCTAACCAGAAGGTAAGGGAGCTCTGGTGGCATAAGGGAGCCCTGGTGGCATAGCACCAAAGGCATTTGACTGCTAACCAGAAGGCTGGCAGTTCAAACCCACCAGCCACTCCTCGGAAGGAAGACTGGGCAATCTGCGTCCATAGAGATACCACCTCGGAAACCCAAGGAGGAGTCACTATGAGTCAAATTGATTCAGTGGCAATGAGTTTGGTTTTTTGGCTTTGGTGGTGTAGGGGGTAAGGCATTTGGCTGCTAAACAAAAGGTTGGTGGTTCAAACCCACCAGCTGCTCTGCTGAAGAAAGATGAGACAGTCTGCTTCCATAAAGGAAGCAGGCTTGGAAATTCAGTGGGGGCCGCTATGAGTTGGAAGTGACTCAATAGCAATGAGTTTTTTGAGTGTTGATACTAAAGATGAAAATGATTCAAATGGGGGGAAGTAGTATTAAGACCGTAATGTTCAACACAGAGAAATGGGAGAAGGGAAGTTAAAGATGGCCTCAAGAATAGATGATCAAAGCTATCTTGTCATGTGCATATGTCTTCAAACAGTACCAATTAGCAAATATTACTTGTACATCTGTATACCCTCATTTGGGAACTCTGATGGCATAGTGCCTAAGGCATTTGACTGCTAACCAGAAGGCTGGCACTTCAAACCCACCAGCTACTCCTCGGAAGGAAGGTTGGGCAATCTACTTCCATAGTGATATTGCCTTGGAAACCCAAGGAAATAAAATATCATTTTATTTCTCTTTGCAAAAAGAAATGTGGGCATCACACAAGTCAGAGGAGTCGATGATGTAATGAGTGTAGAAAAAGAAAAACATATTATGGTCAAAAGTAACCAGTAAAACCAGTTGCCGTAAAGTTGATGCCAACTCGTGGTGCCCCATGTGTGTGAGTTGGATCTGACTCAAAGGCAGTGCATTGTGCTGTGTTGCATATACCCTTATATGCATGCAAAAGCTGAACAATGAATAAGGAAGACCAAAGAAGAACTGATGCATTTGAATGAGGGTGTTGGCAAAGAATATTGTCTATGCCATGGACTGCCAGAGAATGAACAAATCTGTCTTGGAAGAAATACAGCCAGAATGCTCCTTAGACACCAGGACTTTGTCTCTCATACTTTGGTCATGGTATCAGGAGGAACCAGTCCCTTGAGAAGGACACGATGCTTGGTAAGGGTGAGGGTCAATGAGAGAGAGGAAGATCTTCAGTGAGACGGATCAACACAATGGCTGCAAATAGGTTCAAACATAGAACAATTTTGAGGATGGCCTAGGACCAGGCACTGCTTTGTTCTGTTGTACAAAGAGTCACTATGGTTGGAACTGACTCGATGGCATCCAAGAACAACAACAACAATTGGTCAGGCACCCTGCTACACTCTCCAGGAAAAATGCAGATAAGTGAATTTCCTTTCAGTGACTCTTAGGGGAGATTACAAGGAAATAAATAATTACAATAATATGTTAAGCTGAAGTTGAGCAACTATAGCTTTGTAAAAAGCTTCCTGGGAAAGTCATGGAAGACAATATTGAGTTTATTCATAATGATGACCAGGGTTTGTCAAGAGGACAGCAGGGTCAGATGATAATGAGCATCTCAGCAGAGGACCATTTGGGCAAGGGTACAGAGGCAAGAATCTCTTCAACTAGACTGTGTTCTATCCATCTCTAGGCCTTAGGCCCCAGGCAGTATCTAGTGCACAGACATTCCATAGATATTGGTTGGATGATGGTGAAGAAAAAGACATTATTTCATTCATCCAACAAGTATGCATCAAACATTGTAAGAGGTTAGGCATCGTTCTTGGCTCTGGGGACAGAGAGCAAGCCATGGTCCCTTCTTTCATGGAGTTTGCCTTGCTTTACTAGATACTGCAAAGTCTGGATGAACAATGTGATAAGAATTCCAAGGAGGGGTAATACAGTTCAGACCAGGGTTACCTAAGAAAGAATTCAGAAAGAGAAGGCTAGCTAGAGTTTCCAGAAACCAGACTCCTCCCAGCCTTTGGCTTATGATCAGGGCCAGCCTCATATTCTTCTTACTAAAAATAAGGCAAACTGACAAACCAAGTCTCTAATTTGAGCAGGGTCCATAGCAAAGAGAATCCAACTCCAGTGGGCACAGGAAGAGATTTTCAAGGGGAAAAATGGCCCACAGAGGTATGAGTAGGGTTATAAGAACCAAAAACAACATGAAAGGGCATGGGATCTAGCAACAGTGAGAAGCCAGGACTGCCATGGACCTGAAAGGGCAAGAGGAGAAAAGGGTGTTCTGTGACCCAGTCTGCAGCTGTGGGGCTTCAAGACAGGAGATGTACCCTGGGAGGTTATTATCAGAAATGGGCCCAAAGCAGGAGGGTAAAGATGGACATCTGGACTTCTTTCTTCCACCCTCTGATCTCTTGCTAATGTCTTCCATTGGCCAAACCCAATTGAAAGTCAGCCACAAGGGATCCTAGGGACATAGCCCATGAGGGTCAGCCTTCCAGGCTCAGAACAGAGAAAGGAAAAGAATACAGAACAACCGGCATGTTCTCTTTGGGGTCATTCACCCAGTTCCCAAAGTTTTGTTATCTCAACCTCAGCTACTCTTGAGCATGCTGTCGTTAACTGTTGTCAGCCTCCATCAAGTCAGTCTCGACTCATGGTGACCCTGTGGACAACAGAACAAGACCCTGTCCAGTCCTGCACCATCCCCATGACCCACCGCAGATCAGACTACTGTGACCCATAGGGTTGTTGTTAGCTGTTTTGGGGAGTAAATCACCAGGCCTTTCTTTATAGTTTGTTTTAGTTTGGAAGCTCCCCTGAACCCTGTTCAGCATCATAGCAACATGCAAGCCTCTACCAAGAGACAGGTGATGGCCAGGAATGAGGTCCATCGGCCAGGGATCCAACTCAAATCTCCCACAAGGAAGGCAAGAATTCTGCTACTGAGCCATGCTAGTTCTCATACTCTCAGACATAGAAAGGGACACACCAAACAAGGTCATTCATCAAAATAAAGACCTAATTCCACTTGGCAATAGAACCAGTCTATTTTCTGTTGCCCTTGCTCCTCAATGGCTGTGACCTCCAGGTGGATGACCTCTGCAACCTCCTAGGCCTGAAGCTTTTGAGAGGAACTTCTCTACACATCTACCAACACAGAACTCAGTGCAATCCGCTGGGAACAGAAAGAAGACTGTGCGCATGTCCTCATAGTCAGAATTTGCACAACAGCAATCAACAGTCAGCAACAACACATCCAAATGGTTCAGATAGTCCCAAATGCATTTGTTTGCCCTCTTCACATTTTCCATCCAATGCAATTCACTGGTAAGGTTTCTTCTTCCAGCCATTTGTGACAGCTCTCTGGCGTCCTCCCTTTAACATCGAGCGCTTTCTGTTCTTTGATGTCTCTCCTGAGGCCCAGTAGCTCTTCCCAACAGTTCAGCCATTTGACCCAAAACTTAATGCGTTTTTTGATTAATGCAATATT